GGCCTTCCCTGTGGGCCGGAGGCAAATCCCCTCCCTGTCCTTCTTCCTTCCTGCCCCAGGCCCCGAGCTGAGGACGGAGAGCCCGGAGGACAAATCCCCCCGGCAGAGCCTGGTGGGAGAGGCCGTTTTGAAGGGCTCCACGGCGCAGGAAGGCAGCGGGGAGGGAAAGCCACAAAGGTACCCCAGAAGGAGGGGCTCCAAAGCCAGCCCAGGGTGCTCTGAGGAGGAAAGACTCAGCCTGTGCCAGGAAGGCAGCTGGAGCTTGATCCGATGCCCTGACCTGGAGGTCCATGTTCAGTTTCGCCCCAGGGAGAAGCCCTACAAGTGCTTGCAATGTACAAAGAATTTCAGCCACGTCTCCCACCTCTTCTACCACCAAAGCGTACACACAGAGGAGGAACCATACAAATGCGTGAAATTATTGAAGAACTTTGGCCTGAGCTCCAAGCTTAGCACTCAGCAATCCCTGCACACTGGGAAACAGCCCTGCAAGTGCTTGGACTGTGGGAAGAGCTTCACTTGTAGCTCCGCTCTTGTTGCCCACCAGCACCTGCACACAGGGGAGAAGCCCTACAAGTGTCAGAAATGTGGGAAGAGCTTTGGCCGGAACTTTCACCTGAACCGCCACCAGGTGATCCACACAGAGGAATGTCCCTACAAGTGTTCTGAGTGTGGGAGGGGGTTTCGGAACAGGGCAAATCTCATAAGGCATCGGTGGACGCACACGAGGGAGGGGCCTTCCCCTACACCAACTGCAGGAAGAGCTCCAAGCACAACTCCAGCCTCATCACCCACCAGCACATCCACACTGAGAAGAGGCCCCACAAGTGTCCTGAGTGTGGGAAGAGCTTCAGCTTTAGCTCCTACCTGATCTGCCACCAGATAGTCCACACCAGGGAACGGCCCTACAAGTGTGGGGAATGTGGGAAGAGCTTCAGCCAGAGCTGAAACCTCACCAACCACCAGCGCCTGCACACGAAGGAACGGCCCTACAAGTGCCTAGAGTGTGAGAAGAGCTACAGCATCAAGTCCAACTTGATCCGCCACCAGAAGATCCACAGTGGGGAATGGCCCTACGAGTGTCTCAGGTGTGGGAAGACATTTCAGAGCAGCGCAAATCTCCTCGTGCATCAGCGGACGCACACGGGGGAGAGGCCCTTCCACTGCACCGACTGTGGGAAGAGCTTCAGCCAGAAGCCCAACCTCATCAGACGCCGGCGCGTCTACCACAGGGAGTGGCCCTACAAGTGTCCCAAGTGTGGGAAGATCTTCGAGCAGAGCTGTGCCTTGACCACACACCAACAGACCCACCATTAAGGGAAGGCCTGCGACTGCTCTGACTGTGGGAAGAGCTTCATCTGCTGCTCCAACTCCATCACCCACTGGAGGAGTGATGTCTTCCCACATTGGGAAGACACCTGGCTGGGGGTCTGCACATCCTTATGGTTCCCTATAGGCACGTGGGTGAATGCAGGGGGAGGAACATCCATCAGGACACAGACCAGATGTCAGAAATTCATTGGTAAGAGTGGATTTGTTGTCTTTAGACCGCTAAAGAATTTCACCTGCTCATTCCAATCATTTGATTTGGCATCAAGCAACACTGGGTGATCTTCGAGATCTTTTCCATCCTAAATAATTCTGTGTTTCTAATTCTCCATGGCCGACAGGCCACCCAAACCAACCTCACAGGATGCTGACATGTAGATCCTTTTATGCTGGCCCTGATTTTGTTTTGATCCATCTTCATTCCTTAAAAACACCTGAAATTGGGGTAAAAATAAAGAAATACAATAAAGATATTTAAAGCCCTACCATTTTTCTAGGATTCTGGGAGGGGAAATTTGGGGTTCAAGGGGATATTCAGGAGGATTTGTGGGTTCTGGGGGGATGTGGGGTGGGGGAGTTTTCCCTCAAAATTGGGAATACCCAGGCCAGGTGAGTTTTCTCCATCACTTTGCACTCCAAAAGCTGAGATGGATCAATCTGTCACCTCATAATGACTCGATCCCACTCCAAAATGCCTCAATCACACAGTCCCTCCAAAGGCCCCCCTGATCACCCCGTGGGGTGTCAGCAACCAGAGAGGGGNATAATGACTCGATCCCACTCCAAAATGCCTCAATCACACAGTCCCTCCAAAGGCCCCCCTGATCACCCCGTGGGGTGTCAGCAACCAGAGAGGGGGAAGTTCATGCCCAGGAGTGGTAGGATGGGGTTGGAGGGCTGGGATGGGGCTTGGAGAGAGATGGGATGGAGTTTGGGGGGGTGGGATGGGGTCTGTAGTGAGAGAGCTGAATGTTGGTGATGATGAGGCCAGGAGGCACCCCTTTCCTGACGGGTTTTTGGGGTATCCCATGTTCCTGGGGGGTCTTTGGGGTGCCCTCTAATACTGAGGGAGTTTTTTGGGTGCCCCCCAATCCTGAGAGGAGGTACTGGGAGATGGGGTGGGGGATGCGTGGCTCCAGCACTTGGAGGGGGACACCACAAGGAGGGACCCAGGGAGCCCGTTTTGGGGAGGGTCCTAGTGCTTTCCACCAATTTGGGGGATTATAAACATCTTTTGGGGGTCCCCCTCCTCATTTTCAGGGGCTGAGATAAACCCCTCACGTTTTGGGAGGTGAGATGACCCCATTTTGGGCAGGATCCTGCTGTTTTCAACTAATTTTTAGGGGTTATAAATGGCTCTTGGGGGTCCCCCCCTCATTTTGGGGGATTGGGGTGACTCCATGGCTCCACTCATGGCTGAGGAGGGGTTATACCCCCAGTTTTGTGGGGTTAAAAGGGGCTTGTGGAGGTCCCACATTTGATGGACGTCCCACCTGGAGGAGGGTGTCCCTCCTTCCTCCAGGCACCCTGCAGCAGGTCTAGGACCCCTCCCCACATGGGGGGCACCCACATTTTGAGAGGGGGGAAGAAGAGGCTCCTCGTGCACTTAGACCAGTCCAGTTGGTGTCACAGCATCACAGAATACACTGAGCTGGAAGGGACCCACAAGAATCATGGAGTCCAACCCTTAGCCCTGAACAAGACCATCCCCAAGATTCACCCCATGTGCCCCAGAGGATCATCCAAACCCTCCTTGAGCCTTGGTGCTGTGACAACTGCCCTGGGGAGCCTGTTCAGTGCCCAACTGCCCTGGGGAGCCTGTTCAGTGCCCAATCACCCTCTGGGGGAAGAACCTTCTCCTAATATCCAACCTAAACCTCCCCTGACACAACTTCGGGACATTCCCTCAGTCCTGTCCCTGGTCCCCCCAGAGCAGAGCTCAGGGCCTGCCCCTCCTCTGCCCCTCCCCAGGAAGTTGTACCTGCAGTGAGGTCTCCCCTCAGTTTCCTCCAGCTGAACACACCAAGTGCCCTCAGTGTCCTCACACGGCTTCCCCCCAGGGCCCTTCCCCATCCTCATTGCCTCCTTTTGGTTGCTCTCTAATGGTTCGATTTCTTCCTTACATACATATCCCACAGGAGCCCTGTCCTCAAGGAGCCAGAGATGTCCCAGGGCCAAAACCAAACATTCCCCCACTCCTGGGGGGTGTCAGCACCAAGGAGGTGCTGCTGTCCCGCTGTCTGGGCTGCGGGGGGGATCCCCACATGCTCCCTCCAGACAAAAAGTGCCCCAGAGCAGCCGAAAGGGACCCGCCCTGAGCGGCTGTGCTGGAAGGGGCTGCTCGGGCATTTCCATGGCAAGTGCCAGGGCTGTGTGATGTGGGGCCTGCGGGTGCCCAGGGGCCACTGTGACACTGCGGGGCCTCCTGGAACCGAGGGCACATTGTGAGCCTTTGGGCCCCGCCCTGGCCTAGGGTGTTTGAGGAGCCCCCCGGGTGCCCAGTCAGCTGAGGGCCGGGGCAGGAGGAGAGGCTGCTGGTGGGCCGGCGCCGGGCTCCCCAGCACTGTGCCGAGGCAGCCGCCTCCAGCCCAGGCCTCCTCCTGCCGCCGCCCTCAGCTGCAGCAGCGGCAGCCTCAGGGCAGCCGGGCCGG